AAGTTAATAGTAATGTCAAAAAACATATATACAAAAAAGAAAGGTATAAATGTTATTTTACAAACGTCTAATGGATGTTATTGACGGTAACAAGCTAAGGGGCCAAAGCTGATGGATTTGAAATTTGTGAGGATGTTTGGTATCAATTTCTCAAGATTAAAACCAAACCTACAACAAATTACATACTTCATAAACCAAAACTAAATTTTACTCTAGATTTTATTAAGTTTGTTTTTAGTTCATGTGACATAACCTTCAATGGATTTATTTGCATCATAGGTAAAAATTGTGACATGGAAACGATCGAATTCAATTTATAATAATTATTTTTCTCAAATTTAAAATTAATTCACCCTCGTGTTAGTGACTTTTTTTGTTATGTTGTCAATGCAAAGGTTAAGCTACTTTGAATGATAGAGGGCTACTAATGTACTCAAGAAACCAAATTTCGGCAAAGTGGGGACATTGGGTTAAATAACGGGCCTACAAAACTTACTATCAATTCTACTTTTAGCCCAAAAAGTACCACCTATGTAGAGACATTTACTTGCCTTATTTATCTAGTTTTTCACATTATCTCTTTCATATATATCTAATAAATTACTGATATATATTCTTGGACACAATTGATTCTAGAATGATATTTTTATAAAAATAGTGGCAATGTGGAAGCCAATTCCAATGTAGATATTAATATTAGCCTCTAATGAAGCATGAACCGGTAACTATTTGATAGCGTTACGTGGGTTGTATTGTTTGTTTTTTTTAACCGGCGGATATTATTAAAACCACGGTCTAAAGGAAAAAGACCGGGCACGTGGTTTGTATTGTATGTAACTTTTCTTTTTCAAGATTAGTGTTGATGTTCTCTATGTTGAGTTAATATTTAGGAAACTCTAAAGGATTGAAGTTTAAAAAAACAAAAAAAATATATAACGAAAAAGGAGGACTACATGTATGAATAAATACATGAAAGTAACCCTTTAAAGAACACTACCCATTTTATTAGAGCATCTTGCAGTTCTCTGCAAACTTCTTGGACCAAATGTCTGCAGTCTGCAATAAGAAGACTATTTGTTTTTAACGACTGCAGCTGTTGAAATAAATTGATTTTTCAAACTTAATTTCATGTCATAAACATTAAAAATGCATTTTCAGCAAAAAAAGAAAGGAAAAAAAAACTGCACGGTGGCCCATGTTTTTTTTTAGGTTAAAATGACGTCTGAAGACTTTTGAAGACAGTGACTCATTTCTGCGCCAGGAAGACCTCGCGCATACGTTTTTTGATCGGCGCACTTCCAAAAAACAAACACTCTGCGAGGGCATATGTCTGCGTGGCGCAGACAAAAATGGTTGTGCAGATCTTCACAAAAAAAACAAACAACCCCTAAGTCTTTTTGTTAATGTTTTTTTTTTTGGCTTTTTATGGCTATCATTGGATTCATGCATGATATATTTGGGCTCAAAGGGTAATCCAAATGGTTAACACAATCGGTCTCGGATCTGTTCAGTCTTTTTTTTCGGTATCTAATGAAACGGTCTTGGGCGAGACCAGTCCAGTCTCAGGTGGGCTGGTCTTGAGCGGTTTATTCGGTCTCGATCCAATCTAGACCAGATTGATCATGTGGTCTTTGTGTTCTTTTTTTTTCTGTTAGGGTGCGTTAGAAAATTTTCGAAACGTGTTTGGATGATTTTCAGTTTCTAAAGAATTTCCAAAGAAAATGAAAATTTTCTGTTTTTCCAGATTGATGTAGATTAAAAAAGTGATTTTTACAGTTTTCCAAAGTTTTCTAAATTTTTAAAATTGAAAATCAAAACTCAACATGTTTCAACCAAATGCGTTTTTTTAAATTTTCATTGAAAACGCAACTCTTTTTTCTGAAAATATTTTCTAGAAAAATAAAAACAATTTTCCACGATCAAAGATACCCTTAGACACATTACTTTTTCATTTTTTTGAATTAAAAAAAATCAACTCCTGGTACCAAATATGTTTTGAAACTGATCTGCCACCTAACGAATGTCACAGCAAGCTTTAGACATTACTTTTTTCATTTGCTAAAATCAGATGGTGCTCCCCACTTGTTGATTATCAACACTTGACCTTACATCATAACCCATTACATAATACGCTTGACTCATCAATTTTACGAACTTTATTCTTTATATCATGTCTCATAACTTTCAGTTTGAATTATAGAGGCGTGGAAATAATTAAATTCAAATTTTAATAATTTTTTCGTGAAAATTGAAAATGAATTCACTTCATTTGTTTGTTTGTTCTTTTTTTTTTTTTTCTATTTTGTAGTTATTGCAAAAGTTAACTTTCAATGATAGAGCCATAGAGGCCTAGAGGGCAACCAATAAGCTAAGAATCCATTTGGGCTACGAATTGGCCTACCAAACTTACTATCACTTCCAACTTTTAGCCCAAAAAGTATCCCCTATGTTGTTGCTGTTACCTACCTAGTACCTAGTGACATTTACTTGTCTTATTTATCTCTTTCTTTCACCTTTTTTTCATATATTCCAAATAACAAACAGGAACATGTCTAATGAGAAACACATTGGTTTCATTATAAGCCGAATGGGATACATTGCACGGGAGGGTGTGTGATATGCGTGGCAACGGTGCACACCATCCCGGCCGGTCATGGTTTGTCCGTTTCGTGCTCCCTCGTGTTCCAGACGACGAATGTAAACGGCCAATCAAATTTTTTTTTCTTTATTGACCGTTCAACGGTCAATTTTTCAAGTTTTTTTTTTTTTTTACAAACTCAATACCTATAAATAAAACCCTCATTTTTCATCAAAATTTACACCCTCATTCTCTAAACCAAAAAACACATGAATTTCTTTGAAAATTTTGACTCGAATGATGACGGAGAATTCATCTCGACCTTCTTCAACGTTGTGCAACACCTTCACGATGAAGAAGGTTCGAATGTTGCTCGTACAAGGGCGGTCGTCAATCGTGATCGCCAAGCCGCACACGACTTATTAGTACGTGATTACTTTGCCAATAATTGTCTTTATAATGACGACTTGTTCGAACGTCGTTTCCGTCTAAATAAGACTATATTTTTATGTATTAGTAATGCTTTAGAAGGCTATTATGATTTTTTCAAACAAAAACCCGATCCTAGAGGAATAATGAGTTTTAGTAGTATACAAAAGTGTGCGGCTGCGCTTAGGTATTTGGGATACGGTATAACATTTGATGTATCCGACAAATACTTAAAAGTATCCGAGAGGACAACAATTGATTGTGTAGATTGGTTTTGTGCATGTGTGTATGAGGTTTTTCACCAACAATATTTATGTAAACCTACTCCACGTGGTATTGAGAGATTATATTCGGCTCATGAAGAGAGACATGGATTTCCGGGTATGCTTGGCAGTCTAGATTGTACGCACGTGGCTTAGGAAAAATGTCCAACTGCATGGCGTGATCAATTCACTCGAGGATATATAGTTGAACCAAGTATAATCTTAGAAATTGTTGCATCTCAGGATTTGTGGATATGACATTCTCTTTTTGGAGTCGTGGGATCTAACAACGACATTAACGTTCTTGGTCAGTCTCCTCTTTTCAACGATCTTTGGATCGGCAAAGCACCTGATATGACGTTCACGGTGAACGGACATTCATACAAAGATTACCACCTTTGTGATGGGATATACCCGGATTATTCTACAGTTATGAAGGCATACTCGGTTCCTCGAAGTGAAAAAACAAAGTTGTTCACAAAGAGGCAGGAATCAACGAGGAAGGATATCGAGAGGGCATTTGGAGTCCTCAAGCAGACATGGCATGTAGTGAAATACGCTACATGACTTTGGGATAAGGATAGAATTAAACAAATAGTACAAGCATGTATTATAATGCATAATATGTTCATTGAAAATTAAGGTCAAGCGATTTGCACGTATGATCCGGACGACGAAGTCATCCCGCTTGAAGAGTTCGTACCCGGAACAAATGAATTTTTATTACGAGTTGTTGAACTTCATAACAGTGAAACGTGTTTCAATCTTCGAGAAGATGTCACGGAACATTTGTACGAACTCAACATGAACGGAGATTAATTTTAGGTATTTTAAGTAATGTAATGTTTTTTTTTTAATTATAAATTAATTAAGTAATGTAGTTTGAAGTTGTATTTTTATTTTTATAAAATGAAAAACTAATTAAAAAAATCATTATTTTTTTTAATGTAATTTTATTGTATTTTTGAATTAAAAAAAATAAAAAAATAATAATGTGGAGTGGAGTGGTTAGTAGTGGGTATCTCATAGGTTTAGTGGTAGTTAGTGGTGATCACGTGACACCCACTATTATAGTGATTAGTGGTGAGTATAACGGATGATCTTACATAAATATCAAAAATTGAACTTTTAAATAACGCATTGCGAAAATTTTCCAATATTGATTAGGCTCTCTATGGATACTATCTGTTTTCCAACACTTAAGTTGAGAAACACTAGATAATTGAAATATAAAAAGAATGATTAATATCATAAAAAAACTTTATATATCAAGAGTTTATTCCGGATTAAACCTCAAGTTTTTTTTTTTAAACAAAGACCTTGTATTTTTTTCCTTTATTTTTTCTGAAAACCCCTCAACCATTTAATTTTTTAAAAAAAAACTTCATTTTCCCCCTAAAAATACCATTACATTTGACAAGTTTTTTCCGGGAAAACTACTAAAATGACCAATAATAATAATAATAATAATAATAATCAAAGGACACTAGTAGCTTCTTAAACACAATGTAAAATAGTAAAAAAAAAAAGAGGCTATTAGTAGTACTACCTTTTAAGAACGCTTCTTGGTTACATCAACTTTTCATGTCTCTCTAAACTAGGCTATGACTATAAAGAACACTAGCCATTTTAGAGCATCTTCTAATGTACTCTCAAGTCTTTTTGTTCATCTTTATTCGGTGGTTTATTTTGGGCTCAAAGCGTACGTGGTTAATTAGGTAACCCGAAGTTACATGCAATAGGAAAATTTAGATTTACAAAAATTTAACACCTCTTAATTATAGTTGGTTACAAAGTGATATATGTGGTATTTGAATAACAAAGCTTCATGTACAAACTACAAACACAAAGATAATTAAGTATTTATCTTTATTAAATGTAGAAGTCGCTTTGCTTGGATTGGGCCTTGAGGTCCTTTAACTTCTTGAGTATGTTTGTGAAGTAATCTTGCAAATATTTCTCTAATGTGATGATATCTTTTTGATCCACACCAAGAAGCTGATATGTCTCGTTCATTGGTACAGAGAATACCGTGTCGCTCGTCAAAATCTGTATTAAATATCAAATGCAACATTATTACATTATTATTTACAAATAATATAAATAATATTGTAACACAAAGCCCAACAGCAACCCACGCTATTGGGCTTTGGAGTTCAATGAACTCTTATTTTCCATCCATGTTTGGTTTGTCATACAAAGACAAACCAAACATGATAATGGAATGGAATGTAACCATTCATTCGTGGTTACATTTCATTCCATCCAATCAAACAGACCCTAAATCTACAATGCGATAGGTTTAGAGTTTAGTTACCTCTGAAAATGCCAGTCTGTCGGCAACGTCATTGGTCCATTCAAAACAACGAGTTAGCTGGCGAGTGAATTTGAGAACCGAGACTGGAACTGTGGTTACGTTTGCATCTTGTCCAGCTAGCCTCTCACACAATGTTATCACCTACTCACAAGGAACCCATTAGCAATGTAAAACGTTGAAAGTAAATTGTTTTGTTTTGTTTTTTTTTTGTATTTAAACCTAAAATTAATAAGGAAGTTGTTTTATTACCTCTTGAGTTGTCCATGCACGAGGTCCAGCAAATGTGAGAAGCTTTCCATTGACTTTTTCACTTCGTATAGCAATAAATGTTAAACGAGCTATATCCTGTAAGAAGGCAGTAATTAGTTTAAAATGAAATTACACTTTTTCCCTAATAGTGGATTAGATAAGACAAATTACATAAAACTACCTGGGTGTCCATATAAGCTATTCTTGTTGGGGCATCTGTTCCCCATACAGACTTTTCTTCTAATATGGGCACAGCATATTGACCTATGAGCCCCTACAAATATAAAAAATAGTGTATCACCTTATCTTACAAAAACAACAATGTACTTTCAATCTTTTTCTTATTAAGAGATTACACTTTGAAAAATCTACCCAATTATAAAAGTGAAAAATCAAAGAAACTTCATTGCTTTTTTTTTGCATATAAGCGATTTAATCTGCTTACCTGCATGAAACCACATAACCGAATGACAACATGGTTAATACCAGAGTCCTGAAGAAACTTCTCAGTGCAATACTTGATCTCCATTAATGGAACTTCCGGATGCTTGTCACAATTATGAATCGAAAAGAATACATATTTTTGGATTCCCATTGCTTTTGCACACTGTATAAGAGCAACCTTTCCTTCCCAATCTACCTAAAATGAAAAGACAGACATACTTTAAATATAGCATTGCACTTTCATTTCTTCATAATAGTCTTTCCAACAAATTCAAATTCCATTAATCATTTAAATCTACACTGAAAATATCACAATACTTACGGTTTTAATAGGCTCCTCAGGGCGCCCAGTGGCACAGTCAATAATTGTATGAACACCAACCAATGTAGCGGGAATTGTTTCAGGTTTGCTCAAGTCTCCCTACACATAAACTTCAGAGATAATACTTGTACATAACAAGGTTATAAATATACAGATTAGTAATAATTCAAGTTTATAAGAAGAGAAGTAAAATGAGAATATTATAATAAAGAAACTAATGAAAGTACATTGTTATTTCTTACATTTACAACAGTGGCACCCCAATCACGGAGGAAATCAGCAGGAGCAGGTCTAGGTCTGACAAGGCATCTCACATCATATCCCTCATCAAGTGCACGCCTAACCACCTGTCTTCCTAAAGTTCCTGTAGCTCCAATAACCATGATGCTGGTTGGCCTCACTGGGGTTCCTGGTGCTAAATTAGCTGCTGCTACAGGTTCTGTTCCAGCAGCACATGTAATCAATGGCTTCACAGATCCTTTAACTCCTAAAATTTTTCAACATAAAAACAGTTTTTAGTTTTCATTCTGAAAATCGAACCTCTCTGTATAAAGGTAGTGAAGTCCATTTTGACTTCAAAGATGAAAACTCAGTTGATTGTTATCATTTAGCATATAGAAGTATAGAACCACTTCCTCAAACTAAATGAACCTACATTTAGAATTCTATAGAAGATGCGTCTAAACACAAAAGCTAGAATGCATTTGTAACATATATGTACACATTTACATATATACACACATTGTGTACATTCATATTAAGGTCAGCTTGTGGTTTACAGAGAAACCTACTTAATTCCCTACAGTAAACTGTATCGAGAGTAAAGTTGCTACAAACGATTAGCAATTCAACTTGTCGTTTAGAAAGTAACAATAGAACAATATTTGGTACAATGCTAAAACAAATACAAATCAAGCAAAATTTATCAACATAATTCAACAAAGCAACTGATAATATAGACATATAGTACATCAAGTAATGTCAGGAAATGAGGAATTGCGTTCGATTATTGAGCAAATCAACACCGTTAAATACTTACTACTACCTCTAAGAGAAGAATGCGAGACGGCGGAAAGAAGGCGGTCGGGAGCAAACGCGCGGCTCCAAGTCAGCGAATTGCCGGTGATCTGGCGAAGAGGGGAAGTGCTCCGAGTAATCGCCGGCGACTGAGTGTGAGATAGCCGTGAATGAAGTGTGGTGGAAGCCATATCTACGAGTGTGTGTATCAGAGCGACGGAGGAGAAAGGGGGAATGGAATGGAAGGGGGACAAATGGACAGTGAGATGCGAGTGATTCCACGTCGTTTCTTTTTCCTTCACCCCATATCCATTTTGGATTACGATTTGCGCTCTTTTATATCCTACTGCTAATGTGCGCCGGATTAGTTACAATTCCCTCCGTTTTATTGCCACGTCATCAAGTACTACCTTTCAAGTCCATATCTGCTTTGGCCCAGTAATTGGATCAGCCCATATTCATATTTCTATGCTCATGATACAAAAATCAGGCCAGACAGGATTTTAAACTGGGCCTGATCAACAGTGGTTATTTTTTAAACAATTTATTATAAAAAATATTTTTAAACAATTTTCTAGCCTGGTTAGGAGTGTGGTCTGAACCCAAATTGGTTGAATGGTTACATAAATTTTTTTTATTAAATTAAGATTATTTTTAATGGATTAGATGAAAACTTACATGTTAGCCAGTAAACTAACCGATAATTAAATATATAAAATGATATAACATTATCTTTAAGTTGAAATGCTACTTTAACTTTTTTTTTAAATCTAACTTATAAATTATTTTTTGGTTTTCAAACATGACATCTAATAAAGCTCGAAAAATAAGTTAGATGTGTTATGACAAACATAAATTAAAAAACAAAATTATTTAGTTTATTTCAATTTTTGTTTGCTAATCTTGGATGCTATTTTGTGCATATAAACTAACTTGTTTTTTTGGACTTATTGCAATTTAGTTTTCGGCTAGACAACAAAAATCGCTCATTATAGTTTATAAACTAGCTTTTTAATGAACTAATCAACTAATTGAAATAGATTATCATAGTTTACAAACATATTTAAATCTATCACAAAATTCTTGCTAACAAATTTTCTAAATATTTTTTCTTGCATAAGTTCGTGTTTCAATGGATGCTTGATGCTTCTAAAAGAAAATAGGACTTTTCATTATCTCAACAATAGTTATACAACGATTGTTTGCGGTACGTTTTAATACTTCGCATGTTTATTATGGTATAAAACACATACTGCTAACTAATTTTTTATATGAACATCGTTAACATGCATCTTTAGGTAAGCTCAATTGTCGACATATCTTAATATTGTTTGTCTTTAGCATGTTAAATGTGATGATTGCAACACCACTTCAACCTTATTGTCAGCGATAGGAAAACTCTATTGCCGACATCATCTTAATATTAAGAAATTTTATTTTCAAGTGATTTCAGATAAAATATAGTTAATATCATAATATAAGTGTACAATTTTTTTCTCAATTTTTTTTTTACTTTTGTTTAATTGGATTGCTGCATGTGCTTTTTTCGTGAAACCATTTCGAGAAGTTGTTCATCTTCCATACGACACTAAATGCAAATAGTTTTATGTCGCGCATAGAGTTCAATATTAAAACGTTTCTAGTTTTTCTTTACTTTTTAGAATCGTGAACACTTCTCATTCCTTCTTTATGTCGTGATAATATACTATCTTGAATACTTTTTTTAACCATATTATAAATTTAGTAGTCACGACATGACATATTTATCTTATGAATTGATGCAAAAGTACATTAACATTTTTACCCGTTTCACTAGGACGGCAGGACCTACACACCCATACTACATCTTCCTCAATTATTGTTTCTTTTTTCGTAGGTGGTCATTAACTTGTAGTAAAAGTTGCTTCTTATTTGTCGTAATAAAGATCCACAATCCTATTTATTTCCAATGTTGGAACAAGAGGAAAGAAAGACACTGATAGTTTATATATATATATATATATATATATATATATATATATATATATATATATATATATATATATATATATATAGAGAGAGAGAGAGAGAGAGAGAGAGAGGGGGGGGGTTAGGTTTATATGTGTATGGACATCTATTATATGTACAATGCTATTTTGTGGGAATGACTAAAAGAATAGGTTGTTTGGTGATGTGAATATGTTCTTCACACAATTATTGTAATTATCATGCATTCTAACTAATTAAATCGTTTATAAAGTTAGTATATATTTTTTTATGATTCACATTCTATCAGAATATGTTCTTGATAACCGTATTCTGTAAGAATGAGATGAAATGAATAACGATGCATAAGAACAAGAATAAATAAGAATTAGTGAAAATGCATGATAATGACAATGGTTATATGAGGTTCAACGTATTCTCGTTACCAAACAATATATATATATATATATATATATATATATATATATATATATATATATATATATATATATATATATATATATATATATATAACGTTTATATGAAATATTCATGTGTGAAAATATATTCTCATATAAATATTAAATAATATTTTTTTTTTATATAATGATTATATGTTAATCATATGTACTTTGCATAAATTTAATAAAAGCATGTATTCATTCACATATGAACGTAATTTTGTATGTTAATATTAAATGATATATTCTTTTTATTTTCTAACTTGAAATGAATTTATATGTTCTCATGATAATCATTTGACAACATTTTATTTCTAAAAAGGCGTCAAATATAAATAAAAGATAGAATATCAAGATCAAGATGCAATCAAATCACAGAAAATATGTTTAAGGAATCATAAGGATATTTAGAATATTATATAAATAATGTTCCAACGGTCTAAAACTGACAATATGAAATGATAGTATGAGGAATTGTGATAAGAGTAGCATTTGATATTTTTATTTGTAATTTAAAATGTATGGCGTGTATATAAGTATATATGAACATGTTTTTGCTAATTTATTGACATGTTTATTGTTAGCTATCTCATAGATACACTAAAATATAAATTTAATGTTATGAAACATATATATTTACATGTGACTATGTTCGATTCAAAGGTATAAACATATTTAGATTCACATTTGGATAAAAGTGCCAACAAAACTTATAATGACCAAATATATAATGATAAGTATGTATCTTTATTTTTATGTAAATATAAAATAGTTCTAGAAGTGTTATAAACATATATATATGTGTTGGGTATACGACATTACACTCATCTAAAAATATAATTGGAATACAGTTGGTTCAATTATAAATATAATTATTAATTTATTCAGATATAGTATATTTATTGAAGTTTAATGCAAACTAGTAAAAAAAAAAGCATGCACGTTGGTACGGGTCTGTATGTATTTGCTAAATTAGATACATTTTACAAAGTTTAAACTTTAGGGGTCACAAGTTTAAACTTTAGGGGTCGCAAAAGTAGTAGGCGTAGTAGCAACAGGTGACAAAATGTCTCTAAGAGGACAAATCTGTAGCTTCAGCTTAAGGTTGCGCACTTGTAACTAAAAACAAATAAATGCTAGAATAGCAACATACTTTTATTTATTTGTTTGTTAGAGCATTGTACTTTCACTTGGCTTTATTACAACATCGCACTTTTATAGTATAAAGCTATACTAAACGATAAAGGAAAGTAGGTTGTTGTTTCTTGTAAGTAAGACATGCATTGATGTTATCTCCAAAAAAACAATTTACAACAACAATAAAAAATATCATAAAAGTTATAAAACTTTATAAAAACTTGCAAAGACCAAAGATTCTATTCCTACATACAACACCTGACCGTAATTTTCTCTTTATTTAATTCCATTTTTGCCCTACTTCCATCATACCAAACACTATCTAGGAATGATAAAAATATTTTACTTACTGTTGTAAAAACTTCCTTATAAGTGAAAAGACCACAAAACTTTACCCTTTTCTTGTTCCATTAGAATCTTGCATAACCTGATACAAAAATAAAAATGTTGGAATAAGTTAGCATACCCAATTCCGAAGAACGGTATCATCTAGATTTTTTTTGTATAACATTATACTTTCAATGTTTTTCTCATTAAGGTAATGTACTTAAAAAAGGTTACAATTTTGGAATGAGAAATTAAAGTGGAATGTTATAATAAACAAATAAATTCAAAGTACATTGCTATTTAGTGCATTTATGACATAAATATAGAAAAATGCACCAAATAACAATGTCCTATGGTTTTTGGAAAATAAATCAAAATATATTGCAAAAACCAAAAATGAAATGTGTAAATTCAAAGTACATTGTTGCAACGCTTGGTTTAGGTATTGGTCAGTTTTCAACATTTTTAGAGTTTTGGGCTGGGACTTGACGAGTTGGGGAGTTCCAACTCGTCGAGTAGAGATCACATTTGGACGCCGGATGAAGAACCTACTCGACGAGTTGGAAGGCACCAACTCGACGAGTAGGAGCTGGAAAGGGAAACCCTAATTTTCAGGGTTTGTACCCTATTTAAAGGCCTTAAGCCTCACTTGTAGCCTCCCTTATCACCCCCTTTGTCCAGAGAAACCCTAAATTGTGTCTCATCTCCCATGTTGTGTGTATGTGAGCTTGGAAAGTGATTCTTGGTGCTCTTTTGGAAGAAACGTGAAGCTTGAATAGGTTGGATGGAATGGAAGGTAGTAGATCCGGGATTTCCTCCAGTATGGCAACCATTTTAAGGTATAAAGTCCAAACCTTGACCTTCCATTGCTTAGATCTCCTTCTATGAAAGTTTATGGCCATTATTAGCCTAGTTTGGTACCATTCTTGGTTTTGAGCATGATATGAATATATGGCTTTAGATCTGGGCATCTCAGGGCCTTTGGGGACTTAAAGTTGCCAACTTTATCAAGTCTTGGCCCTCCTTCATACTCTAAGTCCCTTGACAAGTCTTGATTAAGTGTTTTTAGCCATTAATGCCTTGCATGGATGTAAAGTTAGCAACTTTACGTAGTATCTCAACCCTAGGGGGTTGGATCTGAAGTTTGGGACCTTGGATCCCACTGGAAAGGACTGAACACAAAAAGGACTAAAGGAACTCGTCGAGTCCCTTAGTCGACTCGACGAGTCGGGTAGGGTTTAACCGTTTTCGAAATTATGGATGAGTGCAATGAAGGATTAGAGTTTTGGTCTGCATGAGTTTGCGGTCTTCTGGACATTAAGGAACTCGACGAGTTACATAGGTAACTCGGCGAGTTGGCGAGTTATTCAGGTGACTCGACGAGTTGCTGGATGCACTCGACGAGTCGAGGTC